GATATGGTGATATATATCCATGAGAGCGATAGGGCATTTTTTTTTTTTTTTTTTTTTTTTTGTGAAGTGGTGTATATTTTTTCTAAATTTTTTTTTTTTTAATGCGAACTAAATTTAATATTTGTAATTTAGAATTGATTATAATAATAATCTCCTTTGCAAAATTGAAATTGTGGAAAATAGTTTTTTTTTTAAATTTGATTGCTCCTGAATATTGGCGCGAATGGTTCCAAGTTTTTTTTTTAAATTGTTTCATTTAATTTTTTTTTTTTTTTCAAGTCAATTTTCGCGCCAAATGAATTATAAGGCAAAGTTAAAAAACTAACGACCTGATATTATCAAATTGTGGTTTTATTTAACAAAACTTAACCATTTTACAATAATTAAGTAGTTTATATTAATGATTTAGAGAAAAAAAGAAAAAAAAAAAAAAAAAAGAAAAAAAAAAAAAAAATAAAACCAACCAAAGAGAAAAACCAACCAACTTTCCTTTATTTATATATCACAGGATATAATTGATGGGCCAATCACCCCAGTTCAATATATTTTAAATATATTAGTATTTTAAAAAAAAAAAAGAAAAAAAAAAAACCAACTCTTTGTTGGTAATGGGTATAAAGATAGAACATAGATTTGATATTAAATATAGATAAGAAATGATTGGTACGTTATAATAAACTATTATAAAAAAAAAAAAAGGAAAAAAAAAATAAAAAGAAAGAGAAAACGTTAAGTTGTTATCATTATTAACAATTTTGATGCAACCCAAGATTATCAGTGATTTACAGCAAACTATCCAATCATTATTTTCTTATTAATTTTTTTATCCCCACATTGCTTTCTATTTAGTTTTGTGAGGTTGAGTTTATAATAACAAAAATAATGATACTAAAAACAATACAAAAGAAAAAAAAACATAAAAAAAAAACATAAAAAAAAAAAACATAAAAAAAAAAAACAGCACAGCGCTATTTTTAATAATAAAATACAATAGGAGTGTTTATATGTTGGATGGTGCGACCCAATAAATTTATTATATTCCTTTAATTGATAAAAAAAAGAGTACAGCTATTTTTTTTATAAAAAAATTATATATAATTTTTTTTAATTTTTTTATTATTATTACTTATGATTAAACAAAATAACAATTTATAAAAAATTATGAGAAAAATGGAGTTTTTCTTGTGGTAGGTTTTGCAAAAGAAACCTTGATTGCTGTATCACCCATTAATGTGTAACCGTGTAGTGAAACTAAACTATTAATAGCCTGCTCAAGTGATGCCATTTCAAGAAGAGCCATTTTCATATCGTTTCTAAATAAAAAAAAGATTGTAAATTATTAGTAACTGTATTTTTTATTTGGTTATTAATTTTATCAGTTTTTTGTGTTGGTGAAGTGTTTTCTAATCACAATATTTTAAATCGTAAATATATTATATAATTTCTGCTGCTAAATTCAAGTGAAATTTTTTTTTTTTATAATTTAAATCCACCTGAATTTATTATTTGTTTTGCTTCTATCTGTCTGCCTATATGTCTATCTATTTATCTATTTATCTATTTAACATAATTTTTTTATTTATTATAACCATCTATACATACTGGAAAAATTTAAATGATTTAACTTCGCCATGAACTGAAAATAATTGTCTTATCCTATTTTCTAAATCTAAATTGTTGTTGGAATCCGGTAAATTTGAAAGATGAAGAAAGTTTGAAGGTGGATGAATATTAAGGTAGTTCTTTGATCCTGGTAATTTAAACCTATGCATTGGTGAACCTGTATAGTCTTTTGTTAATTCCCCCTATTAAAATTTATTTTTTGTATTAGTATATTTTTTAAAATAATAATTCTTATTTAACTTGATAAAACTAATCAATTTTTTGTGTTACTCACATTATCCTCACCAGGTCTTGGAAGTTGAACAACTTTATGCTTTGATATATTAACTCTAATGTTATGCCCTTTGAATGGAAAAGAGTGCAAATATTGTAAAACTAATTCACTAATTAAAAGTTAAGTCGAAAAAAAAATAAAAAATTAATATTTTAAAATGTGGTGTTTAAATTTAATTTGGGTGATTTGCGGGAGCTGAATATCTGTTTTTTTTTTTTTTAAATTTTAAAGTGTGGTGTGTTTTAAATTTGGTTTGTGGTGTGGGTGTTTTTATTTTTTTTATTTTTTAAATTGGAGTGTTTTTCGTATTTTATTTGGTTGTGATTAAAGGTTCGAGCTTTTCGCTTATTATGATTAACAAACAATTCGAATATTATAATATTATTATAATATACTGTATTCCCCTTTTTTTTTTAAACTATTATAATAAAATACATACGCTTGTTGGGACGTGTTCATTTGTATTAAAGCAGTATCCTTTCTATTGAATAAAATTTTGACTCTAATAGGATCTCCATAAATTCCAAAGAGTGTAAATAAATCATCAGGAGAAACATTCTAATTATTTGAATTTTTTTTTAAAATAAAAAAAATTAATAATAAATAAAATATAATGGATAAATTATAAAATATACATACATCCATAGGTAAACCAGCAACAATTAATACATTTGAGTTTTGTGATGGTTGTAATCTTTGTTGGAGTTGTGAATTTTGTGAATTTTGTGAGTTTTGTGGCTGAATTAGGTATTGATGATGAGCAGTGTTTGCAGGTATTTGTAATAGTGGTTGGTATTGTTGTTGTTGTTGTTGTTGTTGTTGTTGCTGAATATTAATAGCCATATTTTGTTGCTGCTGTAGGTTTAAACTTTGCATTTGTGGTTGCTGTAGCTGTAAATCATGATTATTTGTTCCATTATAATTGTAATAACCATTATTATTTGTATTATTTGAATAATATGATTGATTTTGATTGTATGGTACATCCAATGGTACAATATATGGTGAAATTTGAGCTTGTACAGTGGGTGAAGTAGGAATTAACATTGGTGGTGATGATCCTGGAATTGGTGGATTAAGTAATCCTGGTGGTGTTAATGTATTTTGTTGCGATTGTGGTTGTGGTTGGTGTTGTTGCTGTTGTTGGAGTGGATCAAGAGTGTAACCTGCTGCTTGTTGGTATTGTTGCTGATGTTGTTGTTGTTGCTGAATTTGAAGTTGATAATTATGATCGATAACTGTAAAATCTCTAGATTTCTCATTATTATATTTGATTTTTAAACTGGTTAAAGAAGAGAATTGAATTTTTAAACTACAAGTATTATTAATGTTCATGCCATCTAAATTCTATATAGAAAAAAAGTTAGTATAAATAATTATGGCTGCTAAAACTATTTAATAATTACATTTTTAGCTTTGACAGCTTCTTCTGGAGTTTTCATTTCGATTAAACTTTGATAATTTCCTGATTTTGTAAATAATAAAACTTTATTAACTGTACCAAAATTAGAAAATACCTTATATAACTCTTCTATGGTAACATTATATAAATAATTATTGATTGTGATTAATAATATACAATTTGGTGTTTCCTGTAAAAAAAGAAAAAAAAATTAATAAAAACGAAATTAAATTTATAAATATGCTATTAAAGAATTACTTTTGCTGGTGAGATTTCTTTTCTATTTGAAAATTGAGTATATATAGTTTTAGACCTTATTGAGCCTTGAACAGTTGTATAGTATTGTATAAATGATATTGCAGATGAAATTTCGACCATTTGTACTAATGCTTGGCTTTTACCTTTTATTATAATCATATTTTCGATTGCACCAAATGGTTCGATGAGGCTAATAATCTCTTGCTCTGTGCAATCCGGTGGTAAATTTCGTAAATGTACAACTTTTGATGGTGTATGAACTAAATTCTTTTGTTTTTTTGATATTGATTCTTCAAAATCCTCTTGTTGCTCTAAACTTCTTTTGTTTGGTAATGAATCATTTTTAGAATCTTCGTTTTGCTCTTGTTCTTGAATTTTGTTTAATTGATTACCATTATTATCATTCGTATTCGTATTACCATTATTGTTATTATTACTATTATTATCATCGCTTTCATTACTGGTGTCTTTATTTACCTCTTCGGTTGTTAAATTTTGGTTATCGCTTTCATTATTTTTTTCTTTAATATCCTTTTCGCTATCTAATTGGATGTTTTGTATTATATTATCACTTTCTGATACCAATGTTTCATTTTCTATATTACTGTTCTCTATATTATAATTATCTATACTATTATTTATTTCGCTATTATCTTGGTCATTATCTTCTATAGTATCATTATTGCTATAATTATTATTTTGGTCTTCTTTTTTATCTTGTTCTAAACTATCACTCAACTCATTTGAACTATAATACCAAAGTGTATGATTTTAATTTCATTTAAAAAAAAAAGTATTTGGAAAAAGATTATTAAAGAGAGAATATATGTTGATGATAGATATTGATTATTTAATATAATAGTTGATTGATTTGATTTGATTTGTTGTTTGGTTATTTATTGATGGGTGGGTTTATATAGATATATTTTTTATTTGAAAATAGATGAAAAAGAAGAGAAGAAAATGGTTAGAAAATAGATTAGAGATAAGAAAAGAATTATATTATAGGAAAAAGATTTTTTAAAGATTCTATTATTATGTAATCATTTATTATTTATTATTTATTACTAATATTACTATTACTAATATCACTGTTACTAATATTACTATTATTAATATTATTATTAATATTACTATTATTAATATTATTACTGTAATAACTATTTTATTTAACAATACTATTATCTCCATTATTATACTATTGCTCTTTTTATATTTTATTATTTCCTCAAACAAAAGCCCAAAAGATAGTCACATTCGAACGTGAGAACTTGTCCCTTATTTTTAACATTTTTAATATATAGTAAATTAATATGATTTTTTTTTTGGGAAATTTTTCACCGGTCCGGTTTTAAATGAATAAAAAAAACCAAGAAAGAAATAAATTAGATATAAAGGTTATAGTAATCGTATATTATTATCTATACGTTTGTTTAATATATAAAAGAAAAAAAAATAAAAAAAAACGAATTTTTTTTAATTTTTTTTTTTTTGAAATTTTTTAAAAACATTTAATTTTATTTTATTTTATTTTATTTTTATTATTTTTATTTATTTATTTATTTATTTTTTCCATAATTTTATATTTAATCTTCTTTTTTTCATTTTATTTATTTTTAATATCCTCTTTTATTCAATAATAATCACATAATTATGGTGAAATTTTTTTTTTTTAAAATAAAAAATTTGGACAAAAATATTGCAAATAAACAATTCTTCATTTTTTAAACCATTTAAAAATGATGATTTAAACGAAATTTTATTTTTAATAAAAAAAACTCTCTGAAAATAAAACCCATTTATGACCAAAGTCACCCTTTTTCCCCACACCACCAAAAAAAAAAACCCCAAAAAACCCCCAAAAAAAAACCCCCAAAAAAAAAATAAAAATAATAACGAAACATGATAATCTTAATTTAATATTAAATTTTATCATTTATAAACTAATTTGATTCTTGATATCTGAATTAAAATGAAATATATTTGTTTGACAAGTTTTAATGGATATAAAGCTTCTATTTATATCCATTAAAACAATTTAATCATTAAATCTGGAGGTTTAAGATGATCACAACTATGTAACTCTGAAAATATTTCACAATATTTATAATTGATTTAAATATTTATCATATTCAATATAAAACTAACCATTTAATAAATCACTATTAATGTAATAACAATAGTAATAATGGTTAACTCCATCTTTGTTTATATAATTTCTTCACTATTTTTCATGTTCTTATTTTATTATTATAATTATAATAATTATTTTTAGTTTTATTGTTTGGTTTTTTTATGATTACTTTTTTTTTTTGGTTAAAATATTTTTTTTAATATAATTTGTCGATAAAACTAAGTTTTTTTTTGCATATTTCTTTTTATAACATACACCTTAAATATTTTAGCATAATTTTTTATATCGCTCTATTTAAGTATAAATATTATTAAAATTGCTAAGTATGAATTTATTTAATATCTTTTTTTACAATTTTTTTAAATATTTTTTTTATTTTTTTTAAATATTTTTTTTTTTTAAATTTTTTTATTTTTATTAAATTTTTTAATTTAAAATATTTATACATATATTTATTATTTATTATTTTTTATCACTATTGTTATTGCCATTTATATAGTTTATATTTGGTTTGTACTTTTTTTATTATTTTTTGTTTTGGAGAAGGAATATTATTATTTTCCTTCTTTCTTTGTTTTTAAATAAAATATAAATAATAATAATAATAATAATAATAACATTAATATTAAATAATAATAGTAATAATAATAAATAAGTAATAAAAAAATAATGAACGAAAGTAAAGATGACAACAATGATACAAAATTAGGTTTAACTAAACTTCAAATAAAAGAAATTCTATTTTGTATACTGGCAGGGATTAAAGATTCTATCAAGGTTGGATATGCTTGGAGAAAATTAAAAGGCTCTGAAAGTTTATGGAACAACTATAAAAGCTGTGTTTTATTAAATGGTTTTATATTTTTAGGGACATATTTAGTTTATCTTTATTGGGTTTCCCCAATGTTGGATTATTTATTTTAAGAGGTAAGTGGAACTTGTTACAAAGAATTACATATTTTGAAAATCATTGGGCATATATGTTTGGTTATGGTTTCATTTTTACTATGTTCTCATTCTTTTTCCCAGTTTTAATTGGTAATGCTATTTTTTCAATTTTATATCCATTGGTATGTTTTATAATTTATTATACATATTTATTTAAAAAAAAAAATTAATAATCTAATTTAATTTAATTTAATAGTTTATTATTTTATCAATGAGTGCTCAACCTCAAAAATTAAAAACAACAAGCGGTTTAATTCCAAAACATATACCAATTTTCTATATCCCAGAGGTTATAGTAAATATTGTATTAAGATTTTATGTAAAGTATCAAAATAAACCAAAAAAAGAAGCTGTTGAAGAAAAAAAAAGTAATTAAATGGAATTAAAAATAAATAATAAAATAACAAAAAAAAAAAAAAAACAAAAAAAACAAAAAAAAAAAAAAAGGCAATTAAATAATTATATTGGTGGATCCCAGCCAGCAAAAATAATAAATATTAGGTTTTATTTTTTAGTACATAAAGGCTGACCATTAAAATATAGAAAATTATGAAGTTATAATCCTTTTGTCTTATAGCACTATCAACATCATTATCAATAAAAAAATTTAAAAAAAAAAAATGTAATAAATAAATAAATAAATATATAAATAAACTCACATACACAGCTATCAATCCCAGTTTTAGTATTATTGATAACACCCCAAAACCAAATCAAAAAAAAAAACAATTATTTCAACCCATCACAGTCTGTATTTCAATTTTTTATAAAGAGTGGGCACCTTTATAGCTTAATAAGTGCACCATCGGTTTTTTTAAAATAAAAAAATAAAGAATTATTCCACATATATAAACTAAAATAGATTTTTAGTTTTTACAAATGCGATACTTTTGATATGGATTTATTTATTATGATTGATTATTGTATTTAATAAACACATTTTGATTAATAATTTTATAATAAGAAATGAATTAAAAAACTAGGTATATTATAAGTAATCAAAGTAAAATTTCATTAATAATATTTACTTAAGATTTTATCTTGTTGAATTTTAAGGACAAAAAAAAAATAATAACAGATTTATGATATCATCATCATCAACATCATTACCACTAAAAAAATATAGAAAGATATTATAAAATTATTTTAACTACTCACTTACACAATTACGATCAACGTCAGTTTTTAAAATGATTCACACAATTAGCACACTTTTTAGATAACACCCCAAAATCAAAAAAAAAAAAACACAAACCCATCACCATCTGTAGTGATTATGAATGGACATCTATATAGTTTATTAAATGGAACACAGGCTTTTTAAAATAAAATAATTTAAATTTTTATTTTTTATAAATTTTTATTTTTTTAACTATGTATTTAAATTAAACACAGTGCAAATAAACAGCAAAATAATGAACAACCACAATAACTAAAATAAAAATAATCACTCAATAAAATAATAATGAATATAAGAAATTTAATAATTAAAATAAAATTTAAAAGTACTTATCCACACTAACACAATACCTATAAATAGATTATTTTTTAATTTTTAAATATTTTGTTTTTTAATCTAAAGATCCAATGATAAATTATAATAATAAAATAATAATCATTGTTTTTTAAAATAAAAAGGATTTAGAGTGTTTAGAGGGGTATTATGTGTGTTGGTCAAAAAGCACTGTTATAAAATTTAAAAAATAAAATAAAATGTACTTGTAGTTATTAACTAAATTAATTAAAAACAATATATTAGTAGTGAGTGGTGGTAGCTTTACTCATAAATACCAATTTTCTCTGTAGTTTTAAATAGTGTGAATGTATTAAATAATTTTAATTTTTTTAATGTGGTGTGGGTAGGAGAAGACCCAAGGGTGATTTTTTTTATTTTTTTTGAATCGTAAGTATAGTATCAAGATATTAATGGTAGTGGTTTGGATAGACATAGTATAATTTTAGAAATCGTAGAAAAATATAACAATATGTTAAAAGTTTCATCCCACCCACATTGTTTTTATATAACAAATACCACATACCCACCCACTCACATCGTATTCAAATTAAATCATTATTATTGTTGTTGTTGTGAAAAAAATAATAATAATAAAAATTTAATTGTGTGCTATTATTTGAATAGACAGATGCTAAAAATAACTTGGTGAAATAAAATGAGATTAACCCTTAGTGGTGATACTTTCTTTTGCTTTAACCCCACTCTTAACACAACCCCTTCATGTAAAAAAAATATTTTTTATTATTATTATTTTTTTTATTTTTATACACAAACACCACTTCAACAAATAATATCAACATCAACAAAACAATAACCAAAATATTTATCATTCATTTATGTATATAATTATATACAAATAAACATTTGAGTTTTTTTTTTTTTTTTTTTTTTTTCCCTATCAATCTTTATTACACACCAACCAACACACTTGATCAAGTGTTAATTTAAATTTTTTATTTTTTTTTTTAAAATATTTTTTTTTTTTAATTTTTTTTTTAAAATATTTTTTTTATTATTTTTTTTATTTTTTATTTTTTTATTTTTTATTCTTTACAATTAAATAATAAAATACATTTTATTTTTATTATAAATTACTATAGCAATTTTATATTTTTCATCTATTTTCAAAATATTATTGTTTTTTCTTGTTTTTTTTAAATTTTCAATTTTTTAAATTTTTAAATTAGGTTGTTATTTTTTTATTTTTTTTTTCAAATTAATCAATCATAGTAATCATTTTAATTAATAGAAAATTATTGTCGAATATTTATTTATTTATTTATTTATTTATTTCTTATTGTAACTAATTAATTAATTAATTAAAAATAGTATTTATTAAAACCACTTAATTAATATATAATAATAATAATAGTCATCATAATAATAATAATAATAATAATAAAAGTAGAAACAAGCTAGTACAGATCATTTTTAAAATCAAACACAATTATAAAATAGTAGTACACACAATATATAAAACCACCCTCAAAAATATAATCTATTACCTCACTGTAAACAATTATTAATTATTTTTAAAAAAACCCAAAAAAAAAAAAATCTATTACCAAAAAAAGCAAAAATAAATTTAAAAAATATCCTGTGTGAATGTGTATTACAAACAAATATTTTTTTTAATTAAATTATTTATTGTAAGCCATACATATCATTTTAGCGATAGAAAATAAAATAAAACAATCCAATCCAATCCAATAATAGAAAATATCATAAACAATTAAAAAAAAAATTTTCTATATATATATTTATTTATTTATTTATTTATTTATTTATTTATTTATTTATTTATTTATTTATTTATTTATTTAAAATAATAGTTTATTATTTTTAAAACACATATATAATAATAATATAAACATCAATTTCTTTTATTATTTATTTATTTATTATTTTATTTATTATTTTATTTCTTTATTTATTATTTTATAAAAATTAAAAATAAAATCAAAAAAAAAAAAAAAATAGTAAAAACGATTAAATGGAAATCAATCCCAATGGAAAACACTTTGTTGCACAAAATTATCCAATAATGCCGGACTCTAATATAAGAAAAAAAAAAGAAAGTTTAAAAAAAATTGGTGATTATGTAAGTATTATTTATTTAAATTTACCATAGTTTTTTAGTTTTTAAATTTAACACTTTTTTAATTAATTAGGGCATAGGTGAAAAAATAGGTAGAGGGGCATTTGGCCAGGTATATAAAGCATTAAATACAAAGACAGGTGAATTTGTTGCTATAAAATCAATTGATGTTTGTAAAATCGATAAGAATGCATTGGTATCAGTTAAAAGCGAATTTGACATATTACAAAAACTAAGACACAATAATATAGTTAAGGTTTTAGGTGTTGTGGAAACCCAATCACAAATGAATTTTATTTTAGAGTAACTATTGTTTTATATTTTCAAATTTCGATCTTTATTAAACTAACACACTTATTACTATTTTAGATATGTCGAAAATGGTAGCTTAAGAGATGTTTTAGATAGATTTGGCCCATTAAGTGAAGAACTCTGTACAGTTTATTTATATCAATTACTACAAGGTTTGGCATATTTACATCAAAATAAAGTAATTCATCGTGATATTAAATGTAGCAATATTTTAATCACAAAAGAAGGTGTAGTTAAACTAGCAGACTTTGGTGTTGCCAGTCAGATAAGCGAAGAAACCCAATTAAGATTTTCAGTAGTTGGAACACCTTATTGGAGTATGTTTGATTTTTTAACCATATAACAACTTTCATTTGTTTATTAACTTTTTTATTTTATATTTATAATTACTATTACCCATAGTGTCTCCAGAAGCAATTCAAATATCAGGTTGTTCTTCAGCTAGCGATATTTGGTCATTAGCATGTTCAATGATCGAGTTACTTCAATTACATCCACCCTATCATAATTTACAACCAATGAGTGCAATGTTTAAAATAGTACAAGATGAACATCCACCATACCCCGAAAATATATCAAAAGAATTTGAAGACTTTTTAAATCAATCATTCCAAAAAGATCCAAATAAAAGACCCACAGCATCAGAATTATTAAAGCATCCAATTTTTAAAAAAATACATCCTATCCCAAACTATTCAGAACTTCAATCAACTTTAAAAACATTAAATGGTAGAAATAGATTAAGAACATCAGTTTCGGCAATAGATTGGGGTACTTCTGCAAACACAGCAAATCCTCCAAACTCAATGCCACCATTACCCTCCTCAATACCCTCCTCATCCTGTAATAGTAAGTTTTATCAAAATATATTGTCATAAAAAAACCTAATCATTTTCTAACTAACAATCTACTAATTCTTTAGAATCCGTTATTACTGATGATGAATACAATAAATTGCAAACAACCATAAAGCAACAAGCAAATACGATTGCAAGTTTAAGTGAGGAACTTAATAGTTTAAAAAACAAAGTTAAAGAGAAACCAAAATTAGATGAACAACAGTTTTATAGGGAATACTTTATGCAATTGTCAATAAATGTTAAAATCAATCAATTTAATTTAGGTAAAACATGTGAACCAGTAGATTTACAACAACTATATGAAAGAGCAAGAGAAGACGATATTAAATGGTACCAACTAATGGAATGGATACCAAAGCAATTAATTGGAGACTCATCATTATCAGCCTCCTCTTCCTCCTCCTCTTTATCATCTTCTTCTTCCTCTTTATCATCTTCAAATGGAGCTATAAAAGAATCATTAGCATTAGCGAGTAGCACCAATACTAACAAAACCAAAAAGAAATTTGGTTTCTTTTCTTAAAAAAAAAAAAAAAAAAAAAAAAAAAAAAAAAAAAAAAAATTCTTTTTATTTTTATCGAAATAATATATTTAAAACAACAGAACACCATTTTTGTACAGTGTATACCATTTATACAATTATAAAAAAATAAAAAATTAATTTTTTTTTAACAATCCAAGTTGATTATTGTTTTTTTTGTTGATGATTCATTAATTATTAATTATTTCAATTGGATACCAAAATGAATTTTAAACGTTTAAAAATGAATATTCTTAAATTAACAATTAATATAAAAATATTGATTAGGTGTAATTTTAAACCATAAAACAAAAATGAAAAAAAATTAAAAAAAATTTTATTTTAAAAAAATTTTATTTTTTTTCAATTTTATTTTTTATTTTTTTTTTATCATTTTCTTTTTTTTTATTTTTTTAATAATTTCTTTTTTTTTTTTTTATTTTATTTCAGCAATCAAAATTTCAAATATAAATACAATAATATAATGGCTTCTATTATTTCACGTAATAGAACTATTATTAAATCGATTAAATCAAACAATGAATATATAAAAAGATCAATTTTTGTATCAAAAAATACATCATTATCATCCAACTCAACTTTATTTAATAATAATATTCTAAATTATAATAATAATAACTATAGTACAAATAATAATAGCAGCAATGCTTTAAATAGAATTTTTAACTCTCAAATTCAAAATAGATCATTTAGCGAAACAATTTTAAATTTAAAGAAAGGCTGGGGTAGTTTTAATAATAATAATAATACTAAAAAAAACAATAAAAATCATGACAAAGATAAAGATAAAAATAAAAACGACAATATGAACGATAATAACAACAATAACGACAATAAAAACAATAACGACAATAAAAACAATAACGACAATAAAAATAATAATGATAAAAATAACGAAAATAGAAATAAAAATATTATGAACTATATTATGGCTGTTATGGGCCTTGGAATCTTTTTCTCAATTTTAAATCCAAATAAAGATTTATCACCAGAAACTACCTTTTCATCATTCTTAAAGAACGAATTGATTGGAGATAAAAAGATTGAAAAAATTGTTGTTGTGAACGATAGAGCCTATGTCTATCAAAAGGATGAAGATAAACCAAGCCATACAATTGCCCAATTCTCAATTGGCGATAAAAAGATTTTCCAAGATCAATTAGAAAAAGCTCAATTAGACAATGGCGAAAAAAATTTTATACCAGTATTTTATAAAGAAACAGTCGATCCAAGGTAATTAATTAAAACAACATACTACAGCTATAATAATAATATACTAATAACATTTTTTCTAATTTAATTTTTATAGAGTTGTTTTAATTCAAATGTCTCCATATATTTTAATAGGTTTCCTTCTTTATAGATCATTTAAAGCATTCTCAAATCCAGGAAATAAAATTTTCCAACATGGAAAATCAACTGCTCAAAGATTTGAAAAACAACATTCAAATGTCAAATTTAAAGATGTAGCAGGTCTTGGTGAAGCAAAGGTTGAAATTGAAGAATTTGTAAACTTTTTAAAAAATCCAAAGAAATTCCACGATATAGGCGCTAAAATTCCAAGAGGTGCAATTCTTGTTGGTCCACCAGGTACTGGTAAAACTTTAATTGCCAAAGCAACTGCTGGTGAAGCAAATGTACCATTCTTTTCAACCTCAGGTTCAGATTTCGTTGAAATGTTTGTTGGTGTTGGTCCATCAAGAGTTAGAGATTTATTCGATTTAGCTAGAAAGAATGCACCATGTATTGTTTTCATTGATGAAATTGATGCCATTGGTAGAGCAAGAGGTCAAGGTGGCTTCTCAGGCGGTAATGACGAACGTGAAAATACTCTTAATCAATTGTTAGTTGAAATGGATGGTTTTACTCCATTAAAAAATGTAGTAGTTTTAGCAGCAACCAACAGACCTGATATTTTAGACAAAGCTTTATTACGTCCTGGTAGATTTGATAGAAGAATTACAATCGACAATCCAGATTTAAAGAGTAGAGAAGAAATCTTTAGAGTTCATCTTGCAAATTTAGTTTTAGATAAAAGTATCAACTATGCCGAAAAGCTATCCAAATTAACACCAGGTTTCAGTGGTGCCGATATTGCCAATGTTTGTAATGAAGCTGCTCTTATTGCTGCTCGTAGAAATGCCGACCTAATCACTCTTGAGCATTTTGATGCTGCTATCGATCGTATCATTGGTGGTTTAGAAAAGAAAAATAAAGTCCTCTCTCCACAAGAAAAGAAGACTGTTGCCTATCATGAAGCTGGTCACGCTGTTGTTTCATGGTTCCTTAAACACTGTCACCCACTCTTAAAAGTCTCAATTGTCCCAAGAGGTGTAGCTGCCCTCGGTTATGCTCAATATTTACCAAAAGAACAATTCCTTCAAAACAAAGAACAAATTTTTGATATGATGTGTATGGCTTTAGGCGGTCGTGTTGCCGAACAACTTACCTTTGGTACCATTACTACTGGTGCTCAAGATGATCTTCAAAAAATTACTAAAATGGCCTATTCTCAAATATCAATTTATGGTATGAACGAAAAGGTTGGTCCACTTTCTTTCCCACGTAGAGATAACTCTGACCTCACCAGACCATATTCAGAAGAAACTGCTGAATTAGTAGATGAAGAAGTCAGAAAATTACTTAAAGCTGCATACGATAGAACAAAAGAATTACTTATTGAACATAAAGATGGTTTAGAAAGTGTTGCCAAACTTTTATTAGAAAAAGAGGTTATTCATTATGAAGAGGTAGAAAATGTTTTAGGTAAAAGACCTTTCGAAAAAACTAAAGAAGAATTAATTCACTTAGGTAAAGCCGACGAAGAAAAACCAAACGAATCCACCGAAACTATTAATCAATCCCCATAATTTTAATACCATAAATATATTACAATAATCCGAATACTAATAAATAGTATAATAATATAATATAATAATATAATAATAGAAATAATCCATCTTTTTTTCTTTTAAATAATAATAAAAAAAAAAAGAAATGTAAACTTAACACATAACCAAAAAAAAAAAAAAAAAAAAAAAAATTTATTAAAATATACACCAGAAAAGATTTATTTAATATTATTTTAAAACTCTTCTTCTTTATAACTATTATCTTGTGGACTATTATTTATAATTTGATATTGAGATCTTGGTTCGATTAGGATATTGTTATTAATTCTTAAAATCATTTGAGCGGCTCTGCTCGATAAAGTTAAAATATTTGAAATTAAAAATGAAGGTTCTCTTACATTGGATTTAAACATGTCTACTATTTCACCATCATTTAAATCTATTCCAAACCATTGATTTTCTTTACCTGATTGGCTATGTTGAGATTTTAATTTTCCTATTAACTCGATTGGTTCATAACCTGCATTTTCGATTAAAATCATTGGTATCATTTCTAATGAATCCGCAAAACAATTTATCGCTATTAATATTTTTTCGTCTTTTATAATCTGTGTTGCTTTTTCTCTTAATCTTTTTGCAAACTCTACATAAATTGAACCTCCACCACCAACTAAATATGGGTTTCTGACTGATGATGATAAAATATTTAGCATATCTTTAAATGATCGTATACATTCTTGCAACATTGAGTCTGTTGGGGATCTAAGTACCATCGTAGCACCATTAGAATTAATTGAAACACCAGAAACTTGTAAGAATATTTTATCGCCAATAGATTGAATTTCGATGGGTTTTGAAGGACTTGTGCACTTTGATTCCTCTATTTGAGAGATATCATAAATTAATTTTGAATTTAAACAATATGAAAGTGTTTCTAATTCTCTGCTATCTTGAATGTTAAAATATAATATACCCTTGTCTTTAAAAAGCTGCTCGACCAATGGCGGTAATAAAGTATCACTAATTACAATATTAATACCCAATTTAAAAATTAAATCAAACTTTGTTAAAATTTCTCTTGTTTCTAGCTCTTGAATAATTGAAGCATCTGCTGAAATACTTAAATTTTGTAAAGTTGAACTAATGTCATTTAATTGTAGCTTCCCGATTATAATCTTTGGTTTATTTAAAACTAATTGAAATTGATTTGAAAATTGATCACCATTGTTTTGTTGTTCATTCCTGTAATGTATAAGTTGTTCATTATTAATTTCTAGTAATACACCATCAATAAGTTTTGACTCTAGCATTGAATTCCCTGTTATACCTATAACTCTAACCAAGTCTTGAACCGGGTTAAATCTTAACTTTTTTATTGCCTCTACACCTAAATTTGAAAAATGAGATGAAAACCTAGCTAAAATTTTTGACGATATTGATGTTGATGCAATAGAATTTAAATGATTTAAATACTCTTGATTGTCAAATACCTTTTCATTACCCAAATCACTAATATTTTGAATTGGTGAAACTTTAATTTCATCGATTACTTTTAAACAAAAATCCAATGATATTTGAAACCCCTAATGTTTATAAAAAAAAAAACAATATTAATAATTATTAATATAACAAAACGAGCCTAATAAATGTTTACTTACTTTAATGAATATAATTGGATGAATTGATAAAAGTATATACTTTAAGGAATTTTGTAATAGTAAACAAGTTAATAAAACCACACTTGTGGTACCATCGCCAACAGTTTCATCTTGACTTTTTGCAACACCAATCAACAAACGTGCTGCTGGATGCTTTATCTTTAAATATTTTAAAATTGTTGCTCCATCATTTGTTGATAAATAATTATTATTTTTGTCTAATATCAATTTATCTCTTCCATAAGGTCCCAATGTACTTTTTAAATGGTAAAAAATTTCGTTGCATTCTTTCACATTATTTTTTACTGTGCTAATATTATTATCATCAAGCATTATATATTAACAAAAAATGAAAATGAAAAAAAAATTTAAAAATTTAAAAAACCAAAATTTAAAAAAAAAATATAAAAAAAATAAATAAAAAAATATTAAAATATAAATAAAAAAAAAAGAAATAAAAAGAAATAAAAAGAAATGAAACAGATAATTATTTTTTTAAAAAAATCACAAAAAAATTTTAAAAACGGTTTTAATGTTTTTTATTAATTTTTGAGACAAAGACTATTTTAAATCTTAATCGAAGAGACCCATACCCATATCATCATCTGATTCTTCTTTTGGTTCTTCAACGACTTTCTTGGCAGCAGCTGGAGCAGCGGCAGCTGGGGCAGCAGCGGTGGCAACTGGGGCAGCTGAAGCGGCAGCTTTGAATTTATCGGCAGCATCGAAAGTAATTTCGGTTTCGAATGAGATGGCGAGTAAATTCTTGAAGGCATTCATAACACTGTGTGGAATTGAAGCAATAGTTGGGTAACCAATTTCGAGTGAAATGGCAGCAATATTGGCAATACCTTGTTTGAATTTGTTGAGGAGATCTTCTTCAGTGATTAATGGTGAATAACAGGCACCTTGATCGTAGATGATTTTTGGTTCTAAACCATAGGTGAATGGTTTGATGTTTAATTTTTGTAAGAGGGTAGCTTCTGAAGCACCGACTTTTTGACCAACTTTGATGATGTGGACATCATTGACAATATCAATTTGACCTCTGTTAATCTTAGTGGCGATTTTAAGATCTTGGAGGAAAGAAGTCATAGTTGGTTCCATACCTGTACCACCAGCTGGGATGATAACATCATTTGGAGCGAAAACACCAGCTTTGGCTGGGGCACCAACTCTTTGTTCTTTGATAACTCTTTTAACGTCAGTGATTGAGTCTTTGGCAAAGATAATACAGGTGTTGGCCTTTAAGTAGTTGAGTAAGGCTTCTAATTCTGGTTTAGATTCTGATAAATCACGGATGACTTTACGGATCATAGTCTTTTTACCCATAAGAACAGCACCATGACCACGGATAGCTTTACGGATTTTTTGTAATTGGGATGAACCAACAAAATCGGCTTCAGCAACGATCATTTTGTCGTAAGTGGTGAAAAGCTTGGTAGCTTTTTCAATGAAAACGTTCTTTCTTTTACTTCCTCCCGAGGACATCGTGTGTATCAAAGGTTCTATTAATAGATTTAAAGCTAAGTCTACATAATATTATTATTTGTATGAAATTAGTATATTTGTTGGATTAATGATAAATTTTGAAAGATTGATTGATTATCACTATCTTTTTATGATAGTTGATAAAGGATAGAGATAAAGGGTGTCATAGTGATTGAAGACTTACAATTTACTAAAAACTTTAAAAATTTAAAAATTTTGTTTTTATAGGCATCGTTTTTTTTTTTTTTTTTTTTGAAAATTTTTAAAAAAAATTTTTTTATTTTTTTTTTCATAACATAATCCAAAAAAATATTATTTTTATGTTGTATTGAAAATGAGAAAAAATTAAAAATATATTTTTCTTAAAAATTAAATAAATTTAACAAATTTAGTATTGTTTTATTTATTTAATTATTTATATTTTACAAAATAAAATAAAATAAAATAAAATAAAATAAAATAAAATAAAATAAAATTTATTTTTATTTTGTTATGGACTATATCATTTACTATTCTATTCTATTTTCATATAAAAAAACATTAATTATAAACACAAAAAAAGAAATATGGACATAATATAATTATATTTAATATAAAAATTTTAAATCTAAAATAATTTAAAAAAAATATAAAATAATTATTTAAATTTTTTATTTTTTTTATTTTTTTTTATTTTTTTTTTTTTTAAATTTTTTTTAAAATTTCCCACACAAAGTTTTTTTTTATATATATTTCAATAACTATTTATTAAAGAACAATTAAATTTATTTACTATATAGTAATAACAGTAATAACAGTAATATCAAATAAAATTTTTTAATAAAAACTTTATGTTTATTGCAAAAAACAAAATTTAAAAAAAAAAACGAAATTTTTTAAAAAAAAAAAAAAAAGATATTTATTTTTCAAAACAAACAGTAAAACATAATTAAATAAACAAAACAAAACTAAATAAATAAAAAACTGTTATGGATAATACAACTACCACAACTACAACAACCTCCACACCAACCAATACAGCAGGAAATGGTAAATTTTTAAAAATTGATTTACATACACATATTTTACCAAAGAATTGGCCAGATTTAAAAGAAAAGTATGGATATGGTGGATGGGTTTCGTTAGATCATCATTGTTCATGTAAAGCTAAAATGATAATTGATGGAAAGTTTTTCAGAGAGATTGACAGTAATTGCTGGGATCCAGAGGTTAGAATTCAAGAGTTAAATAGAGATGATGTCGATATTCAAGTATTATCAACTGTACCAGTTATGTTTAGTTATTGGGCTAAACCACAAGATGCATTGGATCTTTCACAATACTTAAATGATCATATAGCACAAGTAGTTTCAGAGAATCCAAAACGTTTTATTGGCTTAGGTACATTACCTCTTCAAGATACAGAAGCATCAATTCAAGAGTTACGTCGTTGTATTTTAGAATTAGGTTTAGCAGGTGTACAAATTGGTTCAAATATCAATGGTAAAAATTTAGATGATGAATCATTATTCCCAGTATTTGAAGAGTGCGAAAAATTAGGTGCTGCTGTATTCATCCATCCTTGGGAAATGGTTGGTAAAGAAAGAATGCCGGCTTATTGGTTACCATGGTTAGTAGGTATGCCAGCCGAAACTTGTTTGGCTATGTGCTCAATGATTTTTGGTGGTGTTTTTGAACGTTTACCAAAACTTAAAGTTTGTTTTGCACACGGTGGTGGCTCATTCCCATTCACCATTGGTCGTATCGAACATGGTTTCAATGCCCGTCCAGATCTTTGTGCTGTTAAAAATCCAATCAATCCACGTTCATATATAGGCAAATTCTGGGTTGACTCTTTAGTACACGACGAAGAAGCATTAAAATTCTTAGTTAAATTAATGGGTGAAAGCAAAGTTATTATGGGTACTGATTACCCATTCCCTTTAGGTGAACAAATACCAGGTCAATTAATAGAATCAATTAAAGAATTTGATGAACCAACTAAACAAAGATTATTAGGTGACAATGCTTTAGAATTTTTAGGTTTAACAAGGGATAAATTTATGTAAATAATAATAAAAATAATAATATAATAAAAAAATCAAAAAAAAAAAAAAAAAAATAAAAAAATCAAATAACCAAAATAGTTTTATAAAAAAAACAATCAGCATCAAATAATATTTAAATAATAATTAAATAGTAATGATCAAATAATAAAATTTTTAATAGTAATATTAATAAATTTATGATAAAAAAAAAAATAAAGAGTAAATTATCTTTTTATTTCTCAAAATATTCTTTTTATTGTCCATGTTTTTTTTTTCAATTTTTGCAAAATTTTCACAAAGTCTTTTTTTTTTTTATTTTGATTAACGTAATATGACACCTGTGTGCGTTTGACACGAAGTGGGTTAATTTAACCCCATGTTTGGATAATGCTAAAAAAAAATAAAAAAAAATAAAAAAAAATAAAAAAAAAAGTTAACCGCAAAATTTTTTTTTTTTAAAATTATTTTTTAAGATTTTTTTTTTTCAAATTATTGTAAATGAATTTAAGCAATAATACAATAAATAAATAAATAACTATAGCAATAATATATTTGTAATAGAAATAACAATAACAATACATAACAATAGCAATAGTAATACTACTTATAGTAATAGTTATTAAGTAATAAAGAAAAGTTAACATTAATAATAGTTGTAGATCAGAAAAAAAAATACAAAAAAGATAGGGTTTTGATAAATTAGAGTAGATTTAATAGGTTTCAAAAGAGGATTATGGATTATAGATTTAATAAAAGGTAATTTATTTATTTTATTTTTTTTTCAAAAAATATCAGAAAAAAATTTTATTTTTTTATTTTTTTTGAATTCATTTTTTTATTTTTTTGTAAATTTTTATAATGGTTATATTTTTTAATAATAATTTTAAAGGATGATAATTAATATATAGAAAAGTCAGAAATGTAACCATCAGTAAACTTATAACAATAGTAATAACTATATAAAGCTATAACTTTCTACGTTTTATTTATAATAATAAATGCACAGAATAACAATAATTGGCTAAAATCAACAAATTTTTTTTAAATAACCAGCTAAACAAAGAACCTCTTCTTTTTTTTTTTTTTTATTTAGTTTTTTTTTTTTTTATGTAAATCAAAATCAATAATTTCTACCTTTTCTATCTTGTGTTAAAAATATTATAGTTTCAGATAGTTAGGAGTAGTGGTAATGATAGAGGTTTGTTGTTTACATTAATATTTATCAAATAACATTAATAAATAACAATACACATATAATTCTAAATATATTGACTTTTTCCACATTATAAAATAAAATAAAATAGAATATAATAGAATAGATAAAAATTAAAACAAAACATAAAATATAAAATATAAAATAAAAAAAAAATATTTAATTATTAATATTTAAATAAAATAAATGAAATAAACAAAACAAACAAATAAAATAATAATATAAAATAAAACAAAAATATAAAATTATATTTTAGTAGATAATTGTTGATCAGGTTTTGTTTAATCATTTGGTATATTGTTTTTTATTCTGATTAAGTCAGTTTAATCATTATATAAGTAAAATCATATTTTGTTATGCCATTTTTATAATCTCACATAAATATAATTTATAAGCCCACGCAGCAACAACAATAAAACAATATACAATTCCTAAAAAAAAAAAAAAAAAAAAAAAAAAAAAAAAAAAAAACCAATAGATACATTAGTTAGGTAAACATAAATTGTATTGCCTTAATAAAACTTAAATTAAAACAATATTATATAGAGAAATATGTAGTTTTACCTATCTTTTTCTTTATTTTTTTTTTTTTTTTAAAATAAACCAAAAAACACCCAACCCCCCCATATATAATTATATTTTTTTTAAATAATATTCATAATGAATTTTTATTTTTCACACCACACAACATAATCACTTTTTTTTTTTTTTTTTTAATATATATTATTTTTTTTAAAATTTATCTTTATAAATTATTATAAAATAAAATTCGATGATATAAAACTATAAATTGCTGCACGCAGAAAATAAATAAATATACATATATTATAATCCACACAAAATACATCAATACCCCACCTAATTAACACACACACCCAACAACCTATATTTATTTATATATAGATAATTCATCACATTAAAATTTTTTTATACATGTAATTATAATTCTCTAAAAGTTAAAAAAACTATATTTAGTTTTAAAATTAAATTTTTTTCTTTTTTTTTTATTATAATAATAATATTTAACCATATTTATTTTTGTTATTTGTAGTTTTTATATTTACAATAATTTTTTATTATTTGTTGCCATTCATTTTAAAATAATTTCAAAATATAATAAACAATCAAAAACCAATTAATTCTAATATAATTTTTTTTTTTTTAAACTTAGATTGATAAAAAAATAAAGATATAGGTTATTAATAGTAAATAATATCAGTTTAAATAATTTTTATAAAAATATAGTTTAATATTATATATTTAATTTTATATAATTTTACAATAATTATTTTTTTTATTTTATAAAAATTAGTAGATTAAATAATTATAGAGAAAAATAAAATTGTTATAGTAATATATAATAGTAATAAAATAAATTTAATCATGTTTAAAAATAAAAATGAACAGTATGGAAATAATAGTATAAATAAATTTACAATTTTTATAATAGTAATAATATTTTGTTTTAATAATATAATACAACCAGTTAATTCATTTAAACATGAATGTATATATGATAAATTAGTAAACGAAAATAAACATATTCAAGAAAGACAAATACATTTTCAACAAGTAGAAAATAAATTTTATAAAAAAACCAATCAACAAATAAAATATTTTAATAAAAAAAGAGAAGAAAATATAAAAAATAATATTAATGATAATAATAATAATAATAATAATAATAATAATAATAATAATAATAATTTAAATAATATAAATACAAGTAATAAAAGGTTATTAAAATCATTTAGTAGTGAAGAAAATATAAATAATAGTAACAATGATCAATCATTATTATTTAAATCAATAAAACAGTTTCGTCAGTTTGAACAATTGCAGGCACAACAAAAAGAGGAAGAGGGGGAGCAAGTGGTGGAGGAAAAAGAACCTTTGGTTTTAGAAAATTCAAGACCAATAAAGATTTATTTATATACAGACTCTTTGAATGCGACAAAAGATGAAAAATATAGTTGTGGTTACATTGGTCAAGTTATAACGAACAATAACCAAGTTTATGTATGTAGGGATGGTGATGTTTTAACAAGAGAGAAATATAATTATTTGGTGAACACTATTCTAAGTAAGGCGATGGAAATCCTTCAGTCTACACTACATGTACCCTTAACACAGAGCAGCAATTTAACGATTAATCAAGATGTTTGTGCTTCATCAAGTGCAGGTCCAATTCCATATGATTCAAGACTATCAGATCCTGGTGTAGATGCCGATATGATATTGTTTTTAACAGCAAGACCAATTTTAGCAAATGGAAGTGTATTGGCTTTTGGTTTCGATTGTATATTTGATAGTGATTTAAGAACTAAAGTTGGTCAATTGAATTTTAACCCAGGCTCCATAGTAACAGATCCATCAAATTATAAATTTCAATTAGGTGTTGCAATTCATGAAACGTCACATGTTTTGGGCTTTAGTAGAGATAGATTCCAAAAAAAGAATATGATGCAATCATATTATAAATCCACTAGTACGGTTGAAGGTCAAGTTTCTGCAAATAGAATCGTTTCACCCAATGTAAAGGCGTTTGTTCAACAGTTTTTCAATTGCGATTCGTTAGAAGGTGCTGAGTTGGAGGACCAAGGTGGTACAGGTACAGCAGATTCTCATTGGGAAAAAAGAATTTTTGATAATGAATATATGACAGGTACAGCTTCACAAAACCCAATTTTTTCAAACCTTACATTAAGTTTGTTTGCCGATTTAGGATTTTATGCTGTAAACTTCTCTTATGCGGAAACTTTAGTTTGGGGCAATGGATTAGGGTGTGGTTTCGCAACAAAGCCTTGCAGCCAATGGGGTAATAATAGACTGTTTTGCACAAGTGTTGGAAGTAGACCGCTATGTACATATGATCGTATTTCCAAAGGTCAATGCTCCATTTCAACTAAAAAACCTCCACCACCCTACTATTATGACTATTTTGGTGATGGTGTTACCGGGGGCGAGGTATTACCCGACTACTGCCCTTCAATCGAAGGTTACACCAATATGTATTGTATAGATAGCAGCAAAAATGATCAACGTTTTACCTACTTATATGGGGAATACTTTGGTGATAGTAGTCGTTGTTTTGATAGTTCTTTAGTAAAGGATACACCACCTCTTTTATCTACAATGGCAAGATGTTACCCTACTGCATGTTTGGGACCAGGTAATTTAAAAATCAAGATTGATCTATTCTATTATAATTGTCCATATAATTACTCTATTTCTGTAGAGGGTTATACTGGTCTTCTCCAGTGCCCAAATGGTAATGAACTCTGTATCAATGCTCCAGTCGATAATAGTTGGCCAGTATATAGCTATGTAAATCCATCAAGTGTTACTCCAGGTTCTCAAATCACAGTTTATGGTTCAAATTTTACTATTAACACAACTATCTATGTAAATGGTGAAGAGTTAAATTCTATCAACTTTATTAGTGATAATCAAATTATAGGTACACTTCAAGATGATTTCGGGGATACAAATAGTAGACTTTTAAATGTGATTGTGTATGATAAATATTCAGGCAAGAATGATATTGGTGTGGGTGCATTATATTTAAATATCCCATTTGACAATAAGGTTAGAAATTGGTTCAAAAGTCATTGGTACGTTGTTTTAATAGCAGGGTTAGCTTTACTTGGTATATTAGCTTATATAATTCGTTGTTGCTGTTGTTTAAATAGAAAAAATAGTCGTCATAGAGAACAATCAATAATGAAATCTGTATCATAATAATATAATAATAATAACAAATATTAGCAATATAATAATAATGTAAATAACTCTTACAGATACTTCAATAAATTAATTTATAAATAATAGTAAAATTTAATAAATTATTATTATTATTTTTTTTCTCAGCTCTATTATAATAAAAATTATTATTTATAGAACTATAAATATTTAAAATTAGTTTTTTATAATTATCTTTTTATTTTTTATTTTTTTTATTTAATTTTAAAAAACAAAAATGGATTCATGTTTGATGAAATAAAATTTTGTTTTTTAACTTTAAATAATAGATTTTCGAAAATAAAAGGAAGGTCAAAGCTTATTTGCGTTAAACTACTTGATGAACCGAGTATATTAAATAGATCTTGAAAAAATGTTAAATAGTTAAAATCTTGTAATTCTATACTGGATAAAGTTTCTTTATATCTAAATTGAAATTGAATTTTTATATTTATCTTTTTAAAACTATTATTTTTAAAAAGATTTAATATTGAGTGGGCAAATGAAAGTTCAAAAAATAATTTAAATTTGAATTCTAAATTGATTTCTTCGATTTTGTTTATATAGTTATAATTATCATTATTATTGCAGTTGTTATTAAGTATAAATTCTGAAATATCAAATGGCCCAAATTCATTTGATGTATCAAGGTAATAAACATACAGTATTTTACTTGAAAGTAGTAGTTTTTTTATAGAATTATATTTAATAAGGTTATTTTGTAAATTAATATTGTGGTTGTTGTAAAGATATATATTAAAGTTATTATAATTTTCTACTATTGGTATATAGTTGTTTATAATATTAATTGTATTGGTATTGTTGTTATTGGTTTGCATATTTTCAATATTTTTATAATATTTTATACTATTAATAAATGGTAGATATATTCCTATTCTATTTTCATTTACATTGAAATTGTCACTTATTATAATATTTAATTCTATTTTAATATTGGGGTTAATGATTAAAATGTATTTGATAATTTGATTATAAAAATTGTCAAAGTCAAATTCTATACTATTATTAAAATTGAGGTTATTAAATGTTATTTTTTTGATTGTGTTGCAAAAGGATGATACAGTTTTAATTATTTTAGGTGAGTTAATTGATTTTAATGTTTCAAATGTTAGAGTTTTAATATTTTTATAGTTTTCTAAATAGTTTAAATCATCCTTATCTTTTAATGTTATATTCTCTGTTTCACTAAAATGCATTGAAAACCATCTTATGGGTAAAGTTTCTAAATTTTTAAAATAATTTGAGTTTAAAAATAAGGGGCAGCTGTCTTTAACTAAATTGAATTTTTGTTTCTCAATAACAAATCCATTGTTTTTAAATAAATTGAAATTTATATTTGAATATTGAAGCTTTGAAAAGACCCACGAAAGTTTATCGAAATAATACCAATTTGTATAAAATACTGATAGCTTTGATGAGGTGTCTACATCCACACATTCTATAATTTTTTTAAAAATTTCTAAAATTAATATATTTGAGAGTGTTGGTGTTTTAATTTCATTATTATTATTATTTAATTGTAATATATTATTTGGGTTTATAAATTCTTTTTCAGATAGAGATAGGAAGTTATATAATGTTGAAAACCTTGAATTAAACAATACATTAGAACCATAGCTTTTGATCATTTCCTTAATATATTTTCTAAAATTTAAGGAATGATTTTTTTCTTTATAAAAGCATATTAATGTGCATATTATTTTATCTATACTTAAATAAAAAATATCATCCTTTGTAAAGTATTTCAATAGAATTTTAAAGTATTCATAATAAAATTCATTTCTTTTAAACTGATGGTTTAAAATCATTTCTATTAGATGGTGTTTGAACTTGTTTCTTAATTGCACATTCTTATCGATAGATGATATTATATAAGCTACGTTCTCTAAATTAACCTTGGAAAGAAAGTGTGGGTCTTCTATTAATGTTTCAAAAGTGTTGTTTAATTTATAGTACCTATCGTCTTCTGTAATAACTGCATATTTTTTACTATAGTAGGAGAGTGAAAACAGTTCGAATAGTATATTATATAAGTTTTTCCTTCAAGTTTGAAAACTGGTATACTTTGAAATGGTGAAAGTATTTGGGTGATTTCTTTAACATATGGTAAGCTGAGATTATTTTCTGGTATTATTTTTATTAAATTGTATATTAAAAATGTTAATGTTAAAAAACCCACTATAAATTCTCTATTCATTGGTTTGTTTATTAGGATGAGTGAATTGAAGTGTCTTTCAAAATCTTTTTGAAAACTTTCTATATATGTTGTTGCTAATGATTTTTTTTCGGTACTTAATATACTTTTGTTTTTGCACAGTTGGGATGCAAAAAATAAATTTATTAATTTTACAGAACAGGAACTCAAAAATAAAACTTTTTTTAAATTTGAAATAAAACTGTGGCACTGTTTGTGGGTTAAAAATTCGTTGAAATAGTCATAGTCATTTTCTAATATATTTACAATTGGGTGTAAAAATAAATCATAGTTTTTACTAGAAGAGTTTATGGGTGGTTTATCTATGATTACAAGGCTGATATATTTGTAATGTAAAACTGGCATATATTCTCCTAATTTTTTAGAAATAATTTCACAAAGTTCATCATTTTTTTCTTCTAAAAAATAGTCCATTCTCTTTAAGATATTTAATTGAAATTGATGATCATTTAATATTGATTTATCTAGCTGAAGTTTATTATTATCCAAAAATATATTTAAACATTTGAAATAATCTATATTTAATATTTTTTCTTTTTTGTTAACTAAATCTAACAATAATAAAAAATATTTTTGTGCTATTTCTTTTGATGGTAGTGGTGATACTATTTCTATTATAAAGTGGATATTTTTAAAGTCATCTTTTGAAAGAAATATTTCTAAAAATTCTTCTATAAAATTATAATATAAATCTCTTAAAAAGTAATATGGACCTTTATTTTTAAAAAAACCTAAATAACTATAATAAAAAAATTTTTATTAATAAACCAACATAAAAAAATAAAATAAAATTTTTTTATACTTTATTAAAATTTTAATTGAGTTTTTATCGCTATATAGATCTAAATATTTGTATAATTGGGTATTGTTCAATAAAAATAATATATACATTATTATTATTGGCGATTCTGTTGAAGATGTTTTCATTTTTTGCTCTTTTAATATTAAATAGTGTTCTTCGAAAAAAGTGTTTAAATCATTTCCCAATATTCTTTTGAAATCCATAAAAATATTGAGAATATAAATATCTGAGATTTCATCAGATTCTCTGACTATTGTTGATAATAATTCTATAATGTTTTTTTTAATATTATCGATTCTCTTTGAAGTTTTTAAAAAAACAATAAAATTTAAAATGCTTTTAATTGAATTTAAATAACTGTTACTATCTATTATTTCACTTTTGTTTCCTTTATATAGTTTTATTAAATACTCTAATATTTTATTTAAATATTCTACTAGTGTATCATATTCCCCATTATCCTGATCATCTTCACTTAAATTTAAAAAATATTCCTTCAAAACACTTGATAAAAAAAAATCTAGGAAAATAAAAACTGTCCCAATTCGGATTATAATATCCACGCTCATTAACTAAAAAATTATCTTTATTTAATATTAAATTGATAATATTGGTTCTTATTGGTTTCCCATTTTCATTTTTAAAGCATGTGTATATTATCTCTTTTACCAACCCAATATATTCTTTAAATTTAAATTAGTATTTTTTTTTAAAACATTATTTAATTTTTTATTTTTACCTTTTTTTTTTTTGAAAATCATTGGTATTATTTGTAACCAATACACTCTAAGATCGATTATATATGATTCATTTGTAATAAAATCAAATAATTCTATAAATGATAGAAATAAATTCAGACCATATGT